GAGGGAGAAATCTATGTGAGGATTTTGGTAAATCCAAGTTTAAAATTGGCCCACTATTTATTTAAAGACCCTATACTAAATTATTTTGTAAAATGTACTTTGTAATTTTTTGTGAAAAAAACTGTTTACATATTGAACTTAATAATTCTTCTCAGTCTTTAGTAATCCTGTGAAAGATTATTGGAAAATCCAAAAGGTGATCATTCTTACTGAAAAAAGAAAATCTTGTCCAGTAACAGCCTTATGTATAGTAAAGAGCTCCCTGTATAGGTTATCCTTTAACAATATCTCACCTTTTTTTCCCTATATTATCAGTGGCATCTGGAATTGAAAATGCAAAATTATAATACTACTTTAAAGGGAGGGGAGCAATAAAACTGATTGTTCCCTACTAAATAATGAAACATAAAGAGGCAAGAAAAATGTAACTATAGAAAAGAAGCCATATTGTGAAAGAATAATTCCAGACCTTCTGATTCCAGTTAGGGTTTCTCTCTCTGTGTGAGTGTGTGTGTGTGTGTGTGGTGTGTGTGTGTGTGTGTGTGTGTGTGTGTTACTTTTTGCTTTGTATTTTCAAAAAAAATTTTAAAGCAAATCAAACATAATTACTTGAATTTATTGTTTCTAGTTTTTTGCTTGTGCTTTAAGATTTTTATAAAATAATATATGTAAATAAACTGTTTAGGGGCCAGACAGATAGCTCAGCAGTTTAAAGTGCCTGCTCAGGCAGATGCAGGGACTGGGGTTTGATCCCTGGCATGCTGTGCCAGCCTTGCCCTCTGGGGTACACTGAGACAGGCGATTGAGACTAGGTATGGTGGTATGCACCTATAATCCCAGCACTTGGGAGGCTGAAAACAGGAGAATCACTACGAGTCTGATCTGTGTAGTGAGACCCTGTAGACCCTGTATTAAATACAAAAAAAAAGAAAAACCTTTTTAAATTAAATGATACTATTAGACTTATAGCATCCTCATTTGCATCCTCACATTTGATTATAGCACCCTTGATGCAAAAACTTTTAGTTTTTCTCTTCCAATTTGCATGTATAATTATAAATGATACCCTTTGTGTCTTGATTTTTCAACCTGAGACATCGACTTCCTTCTATATTATATTTAGATTTAACTTTTTATCATCTTCCCCTCTATTATTCTCTGACCTCTTATGGTTGTAAGTTTTGATTGTCTTATGATTGAATCTATATGTTTATTTTAATATGACTGTAAGTATGCTTAATTACTAAGCTGTGGACTTTTGTACTATGTGTTTTCAGTCAGTTTTTGCTGCAGTTACAAACCATCCCCGAAGTTCAGGGGATTATATAACATTTATTTCTTGTTTATATTACCATTTCATCAGACAGATGAGATAACATAGTATTGTTGTTTTTATTTTGTCTTACTTTGTGTTTATCTATCTGATGACTTAAAAAGGCTTTGAGATCAGTCAAGGCTATCGAGGTTTGCTGGTTCATTTTTGAGCCTTAGTTCATTTTTTAGGGGGGAAGCAAGAAGGGTCTTGGTCTATAATTTAGACTTGCCTTGAATTCACTATGTAGCTTAGGCTGGCCTCAAAATTGTGGCAATTCTCCTGTCTCAGCCTCTCAAACTCTGGGATTATAGATGTGTATCACTACACTGGGCTAAGGACTTGGCACATTGTAATTTCACTTGGGATATAGTTTCAGTAAATAGATACCCTGGTATAGTAAAAGCAAACAGAGCCAAATTCCACAAATAATATTTAAAACTTAAGTGTTTTGAAATAAAGGTGGAAAAGAAATGAATAATTACATAATTATAAGTAATAATAGCTACTTTTCTTGGTAGAACATTTTGGTTTTTTTTTTTAAGATTTATAATTGTCCCCCAGATTTCTGACACAAGCTATAAAAGTTAAAAGGGTTTGCAGGAATAAATTTGTCTGAGTTGAGGTGTTTTATAGTAAAAAGGATACAAAATGGAATTATAGATAAAAAATAAGAATGGGGATACTAGCAGCCTATAGGAAAGCAGAAATGTCCACAGCTGCTAGAGAAGGAGAAAGTGTTTGATGAAGTCAGAGGAAGTTTCAGATTGAGGTGGTCATGTGTCTTCCCTCTCAGTCTGAGAAAATCCATGTTAACTGCCAATATAAGGAGAAATCCTGTTAAACTTTCATTAGATTGCTTATACAGATTTGTCAGTAGTTATCCAGCCAGTGGCCCTCTTGCAAATGGGAAAATACTGTTTTCCCTATTTCTGGCAATCCATGTGTCCCAAGTAATAATAGAGTAGGTAAAATATAAAAGGCCAGTTTGTTTGAGACAATATACAATGGCCATAAAAGATAAAAGGGATTAAACCTCACATTTAAGAGAGATTTGCTAATAGACCTACAAAAAGTTCTAACTCATCTTTTTCGTAATTATCCTGTTGTGATTATTTGACTTGTTTCTTTGGCTTTGTCTCCTCTAGACTCAAAGCTATACGTCTACCCAAAAGAAAACTGCCTGTCATCTATTGAGGGCCTTTAGCTAAAACCTCTGAAGAATATATCTGACTGCCAGTCAACAACAACGACCCATTTCAGGGTGAAGAAGCCAGAGCGGTCTTCTCCCATATTTCCCTTCACGGCAGTTCAGGTTACTTCTTCAGAGGAGTGAATATTGCAGGCAACTGAGTTAGATAGAAATATTATAGGCAGTCAGACAGGGCCAGGCCCTCGAAGGAGACAGCACAGAAGATGAGATGCCTTACAACTGTAGGAGGGGCGGATGCTCCTGCTGTGAGCCAGACCTAAGACCTAAAGGCCAAACAAATGCTAAACTAGTAGCACCTGGGATTGATATTCTAAATAGGTATCAATTACCTGGAAAGACCCAAGTGAGTCACTAGCCCAACCCCCCACAGAAAGAGACCCAGTCCCACATTCCAACCCCCAACAGGAAAAGACTCTGTCCCATATCTAATCCCATTGGTTCACCATAGTTTTGTCCCACCTCCTGCCCACCTAAGTGAGTTCCCATTCTCTCTACCTTAGCCTTACATGGTTTTACACTATAAAAGTCCCTGGAAGAGACAGCTTCCCGGGGAACTACCCTTTCGGGCCCCCCTCCTGTCCCTCTGTCGGGACAGGCGCTTTCTTTCTCTCAATAAATATATTCTGCCCATTAAAAAAAAAAAAAAAGATTTATAATTGTCTTTTTTTGTTCTAACATTGTCTTCTCTGTTCCTATCATTAATTCTTTCCTCAACTTATCCACAGAGAGATAAAAATTTCTCTGCAATCAATTGTATCAGAAATGAGTCCCACAATCCTACATTTTTCTTAGATATGTCTTCTAGGATGTTTCTCCGTCATGTCTACTCTGTACTTACTGTTATCTAGGCCTATTGCATACATAGTATCTTGAAAGGATTTTTTTCTTTTTTCTTTTTTCTTTTTTTTTTTTTTACTGTTATTAGTATATGTTTGCAGTACACAATGATTACATTCACCATAGGGAATTGATACATGTACATTACACATTTCAATTATTTTTTTTCCTTTCCTTCTTATGCCCTCCTCCCCCAATCCTGGAAGCTTTCTTTCTGTTTTTTCCTGGAAATTTTCTTTTCCTCTTGCCTGTATTCTGCTGTTTTCCAGAGCCTATGTCTTTATTTTTTATTTCTATTTCCTTATTTGGTGGAGTATCTTCTCCAATAGATTGCTCTTTCATTATTTCCCTATTTTATAGTATAGCATTTATTCTAGTAGCTTCCCAAAAAGGTAAATGTTTTGAGTGTTGTTTTTGTTGAAAATTAATGTTTCTGCGCCAGGTGTGGTGGTACACTCTCAGCACTTGGAAGCTTGAGGCAAGAGTATTGTGATGAGTTCAAGACCAGCCTGGGTTACATAGGGAGCTCAAGGCCAGCTGAGCTACATAGTAAGACCCTATCCTAAAAACAGAACAAAACAAAATGCCTAATAGAAAAAAAATGTTTCTGTTGGCATCCTTGGCATATGTGGTATACTTATTAAATATTTGATGAAATAATAAATAATTGTCTAGATATAAATATAAATGATATAATGTAATGGTAAAGAGCTATACTACCTTAGTGTGCTTCTCATCTTAG